CTGCAGTTTGGTCCAGTTTTTAAAAAGACTGTGGGTCTTTAGACCAGATTGAACCGGATGTATCGATTAACAGTCCTAAGAACAACCTAAATATCTTATTAACTTGATTCGTTAGGCCAGTCTCTGTCTTTTCACTCAAGGTGATTTATCAATATAAGTTTATTTGCTCGAAACTATTAAAAGTAAACCCTTCACATTCTTTCCTACTAGTCCTTACTACTATACATAGGTGTCTATATTTTTTTAAAAAAAGGGATTTCGCTTGCTAAACATTTTTATATGAATTTTAATATTCTTTAATCAAATTGTTTCACTACGTAGTAATGTCGGCAACTATAAAACAGGCTAATTGCGAAATAAATATTTATTAAGATACCACCAATGTATACTTGCTACATCATACGTATATAGCCAAATTTTCTTAATCACAATATTTGCATGGTTGGCGACTAAGTATAGTACATACATAATCGATTCCTAGCCATGTTTATAAAAACCATTTGATACAGCAATCTTTTCGTGTCACTATTAATCTTTTCTTGCATAAATTGCATAACATCGTTACTTTTATTTATATCTTCTGGACGGCGAAGCCGCTTAATTCCAAGTTTTGGTTGTATAGCTTTATGAATCGGGTCTACTTCGGTTTCAGATATTAATGATATTAATGTAAATTAAAAAAAAAAGTGAAGTAAATTTAATTTTTACATTTATCGTTATACTTAGTACTTTTATGGACTTAAATTACAGAAAAATGCAAGTAACGAGAGTATTTTGTGCATATTTTCTTAATTACGCACAAAGAATCATGGTGAACAACATTTACACCACAAAAAATCATGTTATACATAGTCCAAGTTTAACGACATAATATTAACCTGTTAGTACGTACGTATTTAATTTAATAATCCTTTTTTTATTTTTTTATTTATAAGCATTCGTATCACAGTTATTATTGTTTTAAGAAATTTAAAATGAAAATCAATTTTTTATTATCATTGATAGGTAGTACAATACACAACAGCGTAAAATACTTTTTTGATCTTCATATAGGCTATGCAAAGGGCTGAATGCCAGGCGATTTAAACTTTATTAGAAATAATTTGGTTTCTTTTTATTATGTTACTGTACTAATTTTTACTGCGTATAAAAAATTACGCGAAAAATATTATCATGTTAGGTAAGTGGGAACGGATTTAAGTAGATTTGAGTTTATTATTTAAATTAATTTTTCAAGATTAAAATCTTTAAAATCTAGAAATTTATTAAAACCGAAGTCAAATTGTT